AAATGGAGGCACATTTTCAGATGAAGATTCAAAAACGTAAAATACGGCAACTAAAACTGAAGTTTATAAAACCAAAGAAAAGATTTATAAGGGCACATTTGTCATTGTAAATAACGAGAAAAGTTAGTTTCCTGGGATAGTTATAAAAAAATGGGTGTATGGTTTCTTCTAAGGCTAAGGCTACATTTATTGGAAATGGCCAGAAAGGAAAAACGAGTTGCTGTATGAATATGAGGATGTAATTGAAATGATGAGGATGTAAAGAACCTGTTCAGAAAAACACGAGCGAGCATATTTAGTGGACAAAGTGAAAAAATATAAAGATTAGTTACCGAACTAAATGGGCGCACTGAAATATATAACTATAACACTGAAATATATAACGCTCTGAAATATAGAACTCTATAGAGTTATATTTGTTTTTAAATGTATTTTTTAGAATGTATTTGTTTTTTAGAATGTATTTTTTATATTTTTTTAACTTTATTACAAAAAATAATAAAAACTGAATAAAAATCGCTTTATTTAATTGGTGGCCAAAACTGGGTCTTCATATGGCCAAAAACTGTGTTTTCCTGGCCAAAACCGGTGAAATACGACTTTTTCAATATAAATTTATTTTTTGGGCTACATACGTGTCTTTTTATTCTATGTAGATATACTAAATTAACGATAGAGACGGAAACAGTTAAAATAGTTCATCCAAAGCTAGACTCTATAAACGAATATTGGCAGCGCAGTAAACTCAAAATTTCTCTTAAAGTGGCCAAAACAGGTGCCTCTACCCTATTGCGACAGAATCAAGTTTTCCTTTTATTTCTTCTTACTTCTACAAAGTTTCAAAAAATTACCAATTTATTTCTTCAAGAAAACCAAACTTTCATTTCTTTTATATCGCGGGTGCAACTGACCAACAATGGTTTGTTATTTAATTAATATTGTTAGAAAAATAATAATAAATATTTAATTTTTTTATATAAGGCAATAAACAAATGTTATGACTTCAATATTCATCAGTGAAGTATAACCTCAAACCACCGGTAATAGCGATTTCGTGGAAAAATTATCAAGTGTCGATGAATAGTTTGCATCAAGTCTTCAGGCGCCACCATTTCTGAGCGCGCCAAAAAATTCAAATAATAACTTAAGTTCTTAAAAGTTTTTTTATTATTAAATATATATCTTTCTCTTTGTATTGGTATAAAAAAAGTAATAAACTCTGTGATTTAAAAATGTATGTCAAAAAACGTCTCCCGCGGAATCGCCCTATTGTTAGACAAAGACTTTTTTCTTTAATACACGTTATAGATTAATGATTTTAAACAATTATTTCCCCAAAAATATATAACTTCACTTTATATTTGTTTGCGATTTTGCAAGCGAAGAAAAAAATTAAATTCGTTTCAGTTTTATTTGTAATCTATAAATAATAATAAACTTAAAAAAGCAGTATCATACCCAAATTTTATTTTAAATATCTATTTGGGATGTTCCAGCGCCGCCTTTGGATTAACTAAATTTAATTTACATTAAATTAAGCCGTTTGCCTACTTCTAAAAACCTAAAAGGTTTTATCAAATTCGCCCAAAAAATAAATATGTGACACCCTACATGTATACATGTAGGTATTATACTTATAGGATACTTGATGCACCCTGTATAAAGGTAGTGTGCAAAACTTGTCTTATTATTATTTTATTTAAATAAACGTTGACTGTTAGCCCATAATTTTGTTTCACCTAAGGCCGCAAGTATGTTGAAGCTGTGATATACGAGGGTCGTTGCTATTGTTACTAGCGATGCAACGTGTTTTAATCGCAATAGCGATGACGCTTTTTTCGTTCACAGCTCCAACATGTTTTAAATATTCCCCTGCACTTTCGCTCGCGCATGCGCGCTAACAATGTCATGGAGTGATATCCCATTGAGTGCGTATTGCGCTTGAATGTCACGACTTGATATCCCATTGATTGTGTATTGTAGAAACATATGAATGCGCCAGTGATATCACAATATCACGACGAGATTTCGGAGTGATTTCAATACGCAATCACAAATGTTTACTGGGGTGTTCCTAAAATTTTAAAAATTATAAAATATTATATTATACCATTAAGGGTCTATTTTAAGTTAATTAAATACAATGATATTATATTATACTAAATATAATAAGGGCGTATTTTAAGTTTATTAGATACAATAATTCCAAAACCTCGTAACTTTACTTTTGGACAAAATTGAGTAAGGAGCACTTTTTTACTTGTAAGTATATTATACAATTTTTAAAATCATGTATGTTTTATGCACTTGAACGATTTTAATAAAATAAGGCGGGTTTTATGCTGTCCTGTAAAGTTGACTTAAATTAACCTACCAGGTTTTGAAATTAGGCAGACCCTATGTTATTTTAATATACATAAATATAAACTGTTTTTTTACTATTAAATCCCATTATTATTTGTAATTACTCAAACTTAAATTTTTATTTATAAAATATATTACAAATGTACAGGGTGATCCCCTATAATGTCGCCCCCCTTTAACTTTTTTATTTTAAGTGTCCCAAAAAATTTGAAAGTTTGGTTATGTAGGTATTAAAAAATACTTTTTTTCTACGTATTAAAAAAAAATAAAAAATTTATCAATATACAGGGAAAAACAAAAAGTTTATTTTTTTTTCAATGGATCACCCTATATATGAATTTATTTTTCTATTCCTTGTAAAATTCTGAGCATAATTATAATTCATATAACAAACCATATCCTAAATTCAACTATTTCTGAAATATGTAACAAACCATATCCTAAATTCAACTATTTCTGAAATATTCGCATTCGAAATGTTATCATTAAATGTTTTTTTTAAACTGTTAGAAATCAAGAAGCCTCAGTATACCAAAATTTTTATTAAAAATAAATTATTATAGTGACATTATGTCAATATGTCTTGTTAAATAAGTAAAAATGGCCTACTCAAACCATTGGCGGATCCAAGGGGGGGGGGGGCGATGGGGGCGATCGCCCCCCCCCCCGGAAGTAAGTTATCAAGTTGAAATTGAACATAACTTTTTAAATTAATATAGAAAATAATAAAAAAATGGAATAACTTTAATTTCAACTTTCTTAATATTTACAAAAATTTTCAACTTCGCCCCCCCCCAATGACACATTCTAGATCCGCCCCTGACTCAAACAGAGAAAGACAAACTATTTAAACTTATTATCTTAAAAATAATTTAAATAGTTCAGAAACGGTTTAATTTAGGTATATGGTATGTTATATAAAATATGCTTAGAATTTTACCAGGAATTGAAAAATAAATACATATATAGGGTGATCCATTGAAAAAAAATAAACTTTTTTTTCCCTGTATACTGATCAATTTTCCAATTTTCTTTATACGTAGAAAAAAAGTATTTTTTAGTACCTACATAACCACACTTTGAAACTTTTTCGGACACTTAAAATAAAAAAGTTAAAGGGGGGTGACATTATAGGGGATCACCCTGTACCTACATTATATTACTAAAAAATTTACATATTTTTTTATTATCAACAAATTGTGTTAATTTAAGTATAGCTAAAGTATATTAACAACAGAATTGCTTAATGTGCTTCAAACCGTAACTGATACAATTAGTTTTCACCCAACTGCTGCCAATGGGTCGGTCAGAATGACCCAATTTTAAAATTTGTAAAATTTTAAAAAATCTTCTTTAATTTTGTTTACATTAGTGAAGTTTGGCCCTAGCATTTATGTAACACCCTGTATATTAGGCCGAAGTGAAATTTTTAATGCAAAAGATGCATTTTACAATTTAAATTAGATATGACGTCATCTTTAGGTTCCTTTTAAAATTATTTAAAAAAATCTGAAATCTTGTATGCATGCCTATAAAAAATAAAAGTTCGGTTTTTTTTGGGACAAATGATTCATATGCGAAATATAAGTAGCATAAGGTCATTTTTAAAGGAACCTTATATAGGAACCTCAAGACCTATTTTATATGATTTTGGAAGATTACTCAATTAACCTAAATGCTTACTTTATTTCAAAATTTGCAAGAAGTTAAAAAAAATGTTTTAAACTTTAATATCAATCTCAATGTTTTATTTAAAATCATATGATATGGGATACTTTGACAGCAGCAATTGTTATTTTTGTCACAACAATGAAACTATTCTGGACATCCAATAGTTTATTAAAAGGATTAATGTTCTGCGCATCAATAGTTACTTTTATATTTTCTCCATGTATACAAGGCAGTTCCTCGTGTCAGTCTGACCCCGTCGACGGGAAAGTTCCTTCTAACAACTGAAATCAATTTAAGCGAGTATGTTGAAGCTGTATTAAACGATAGGTAAGAGCTTCGTCGCTATCGTTACTAGCAATGTAACTTGCTTTAAAAGCTGCATATTTGTTATGTATTGCTCTGTAACAAGGATTTCGAGATTTCAAGCGTATATCGAAATGTAGAACTAAATCAGAAAAACCACTATATCGAAATCAAAATTTTACCTTAAAAAAGTGGTTATGGTTAATTTTGGAAATTCTAGTAAACTAGTGTAATTTTATTAACATTTAAACTTTTTAATAAAAAGTTTTTATTATTTGGTTTAAAATAAAAAAACCGCTTTTGTCAAATGTGTAAACAATGTTTCGCAGCATCATTTAAACATGTTTGTTATTTTTATTCTTATAAAGGTTTAGAAATTAGATTTTTATTATTGTTTTTGAAACTTGAAATAATATTCCGAATAAGTTTGGACTTAAATATGAAAACATCCTTAAACACAGCATTCCATGTATGGAGACTCTCCATTGGAGAGTTCGATCTTAACATATAAAAAAATAATTGTAGTACCTACCAATTGTTTTAATGTATTTTTGTTCATTATCAAATTGCATCAGCTTATTTCCGATTATCCGGTATCCCCAACAAGAAATGTATAGATTTGTGTATAGACAAATCCGTACCCAAAATCTAAAACATAATTTCTACTTACTAATGCTTAGGTAGAACTGCGTTCCAATCTCGTAGGGATCCCATGTAAGTCCTCGGTATCGCGTCTTCTCCCTCGGCGTGCCGTAATCCGGTACGTCCTTGTGCACACCCGGCCCGTTGGGATCTCCGCTCTTGGCGAAATTGCTGAAAAACACCAGCGTCGCCTCCGCCACTCCCATGTCTTGTCGCGTATAGTTTTGGGGGAAGTGGGGCTGTCCTCCGACTAAAGGGAGGCCCAGGATGTAGGTGAGATCCTCGCCACGGACGCTACCCAGTCTCTGAAAAAATAGGAAGATTTAGAAACTATATGAGTATACAGGGTGGCCCATCAAAAAAAGTCCAGCAAGGTTTACGGTTTTGTATGTAAAAATTCACCCTTAATGTTGTGATACATCTTTTAAAAGGGAATTTTCTGTAAAATGCATTGGCCATTTGCCATGGCTCTTCGTTTTTTAAATTTGAACTACGCGTCGCCGAGCAATGGAATTCCAAACAATTTACTGGACCGCCTCTTCACAAATTTCATAAAGAAAAAAATCGTCAAATCGACAAATTGACTTTATCTTCAGTAAAGAAGTTGATGTGGATAGTTTATTCTATTGAGGAGAGAGTGGAAATTATTAAATTTTATTTTATAAACAATCAATGTGCAAGAGTAATGACAACTTTGTTTAATGAGAGGCATGCAACACGTACTTCATGGTTTCATCCTAAAAGTCGTAGCAAAACTCCTGCAAACTGGTTCCGTGGCAAATAAAAAACAAGATATTAAAAATCCGGTAAGAAATGATGCAGTAGAAGTAAGTATATCTGTTTTGGGTAAAATTTCTTTGGACATTACGTTAAGTACCAGAAAACTTTCTGATGTAACGGAAGTTTCGCGGGCCACCGTACAGAGCATTTTGAAACATAAATGGTACCCAAATAAAATTTTACTTCTTCAAGAATTGCATAAAGATGATAATGACCGCCGTTTACAATTTTGTGAAATAATGTTCAAAATAATCATAAATACTCCCGACTACCTTTTTAATGTTTGATTTTCAGACGAATGTTAATTTTTTTCAATAGCGTTGTAAATTGTCATAATTGTCGTTATTGGTCCGACAGAAATCCATGAGGTTCATACTCAATATCCTCAGAAATTAAACGTTTGGGCTGGTATTTGTGGTAATCAAATTAATGGACAATTTGTTTAACGAGAAATTTAAATGGGGCTACTTGCTTAGACTTAGCTGATCGAAACTATGGAAAACGACCAACGATACCATGAAGAAAATGCGATATTTTAGCAAGACGGGGCTCCTCCCCATTATGGATTACCTGTACGGCAGTTTCTGGGTGAAACGTTTCCTTGTAAATGGATTGGAAGAAGGGGTGCTATCGAATGGACCGCGAGATTACCGGATTCATCTCCCCTTGATTTCTTTTTGTGGGGACATCTAAAATACAATATTATGTCACACTGCCTGAATCCTTAGAAGATTTACGGAACCTCATCAATAATGAATGCCAATAAATTACACCCAATATTCTTCACAATGTCCGGAAACACTTTTAAAAGTTGCTATACTATTGTATGGAGGTGAACGGCGCGGCGGATATTTTCACCATTTAATAAGATAAAATAAGTACTAATCAATAAAATTAAATTAAATTTTTCGGCAACCCACAGCAAAAATTTAAAAAACGAAGCGCAATTTAAAGAAAATATACTGCCCTTTCAAAAGATGTATCACAACATCTAATTTCATTTGAAAAAATAAGGGGGAATGCTGCTAAGGGGTTGAAGTTACAGTGATGAAATTAATGTGTAAATATGTCCCCCTGAAATCAAAAGTATACAAATCCGTAAACCACTGTATATTAGGGTGGTTCGTTTGAGACGACTATTTTTTTCTTACTCCATTGACGAAATATTAATCTAAACATAGAAAAAAAAAATTCAATCCAAAGGAGAGCTCTTAATTTTAATTTTAAGTACTCGCTAAATGAATTTAAAGTTTTTCCATTTAATTAACCCGTAAAAATATTTTTTTGCTTAAATTATCTAAGTATAGCATAGCGACATTTCATGGCATTCATTTGTCCATGGGTGGAAGTTGGAGAAGGATCATTCCGGCAATATAATGGCAATATAATTCAAAAGTTGGAAATTAGCTGTAAGAGCTTTTAAAGAGGAATGATCCCTCTCCAACTTCCACCCATGGTCAAATGAATGCTATGAAATGTCGCTATGCTATAGATAATTTAAGCAAAAAAATATTTTTACGGGTTAATTAAATGGGAAAACTTTAAATTTATTTAGCGAGTACTTAAAATTAAAATTAAGAGCTCTCTTTTGGTGGGAATTTTTTTTCTATGTTTGGAACAATATTTCGTCAATAGAGTAAGAAAAAAAATAGTCGTCTCAAACGAAGCACCCTACTGTATATGTTATATAGGTTAATAAATTTAATGACAATTTTATTGTAATAATATTTTTTTTTTGCAGGAGTTTTTGCCAGAAGATTTTTTTCTTTGCCTGGTTATGAACTTTCCGAGCTTAATTTATGTTTATGTTATGGTCAGTTTAAGGCCCTTGCGTAGGCACAAAAGGTTTATGTCCAGCGTTGTCGGGAAATGGTTGCAAAAATGTTTCACAACAAGCAACGAACAAACGAACGAAATCCCGAAATTTCCGACCTGTTTGCTAATTAATTAGACGCAGGGTCCGGGACCTAACCGCATCCACATAACCCTGCTAACTATTTTAGAGGCTGGGCAGCGTCTGCGGCGAGGTCCTTAGATATATATTGAACCTGACTGTTGACGGTCAGGGGCCAGTCCTACCGTCACCGGAAAGAATTTGTAAAACATTGAGCCCGGCACATTCGCCATATATAAAACTTTTTTCATTTGTATAAAAATCACCATATTTAATGTGTACACCAAGTGGTGTTAATATAACACCATGAATTATGGTTGAAAATGTTGAAAATGTTATATATATATGTATACAGCAAACTGTGTTTATTTAAAAATATTTGAGAAGTGCACCTACACAGAAAAAAAGGAATAGTTCATTTAACTATATTAATTTAGTTGACCCATAAGTATTTATTTTTGTATTATTTTTATTTTTATCAACTGTGGGAAGGTTAATATAAACAAAGATTAGTCTGACGGTACTAAGCCAGATAGTTATTTTATTTTTTTTAAATTGGTTAAATTAACCCAGAAAACTTTAGTGAAACCAACCCGCTGTATGGTTCACTTTACTAAATATGTTGTTTGTAAAATAAGAGTTACTTCAACCTAAAGCACTCTGTTAAAACGATTAAAACAATTTGCCGTGCATTCCCGATGGCATAGTGTGTACCGATCGCGGCAAAGGCGGTGTGGATCACGTGATGTTCTTAAATCTCGCCTCTGTTGACTTACATGAAGAATATATAAGCTCAGATAGTCCTTTGCTTTGGTGTGACACTACAAGTGGTTCGATACTAAATAGGTGGAAACAGCTGTCAATACTTGAAGTATTTTAAGTTAGTGGAACGCACTAAAAACATTATCTCTAGCGAGTTGAAGGTTCCATTTTCTGAAATAATACCACTGGTAATATACTAGTAATGCGCCAAGGAACTTCCTATTTCCTTTTTTTTCCTTTTTTCTGTGTAGTATGATTTAATTAGACCACAAACACATAATATTTAACACTGAAAAGGAGTTCAATTTACACCAGGTAAAATTTATTTTAATACTGTGTGAAAGTTAAATTAACACTATTTTAGTATTTGAATTTACACCGGACCAACGAACCATATTTAACACCATTTTGGTTTGTATCGATATAAACCATGTATGGTCTTAATTTGGTGTTAAAATGGACATGAACAGTGTACAACAATATTAGACAGGCTAAACTATAGTTAAGATATACTATGTGTTTTAAAATAAAAGAGTCTATGAAAAATATAAATATATAGTAGCTGTTATACTGTTTATGAATAACTACTAAATTGGGGATAGCTTGGCTATTTTAGAAGTGAACGCTTTAGCGTTAAGTAATAATTTCCAAACTTTTACAGTTCAAAAATTTAAGAGTGCTTTGCATTAAAAAATGTTTGTCAAAAATTTGACATTATTAGTTGAAATCAATCAAAATGCAAAATTTTTAAATAGGTTTTTAGTTAAAATTGTTAATTGTGTTACAGAGTAAAACAAGGCTATTTACTTTAATTAGTAGTGTTTTTTAAAATTAAGATGCAAAGAATCTTGGGATATGGCTGTAATTTGCAATGCAAAATATTGAAAATTATATTTTTTTCTGTAAACCAACGAAAATACCACTTGACCCACAGCGATTTATTTTAATCGTAGACTTAGATTCATTTTGAACTGTAATTTGGTGAAAATTCATTTTAGGTCAAGCAGGCCGAGACGGCAGGAAATGACAGCCGTAATACCTATCTTAAATCCGGGGACACAATGTATATGCTCATGACAAATCGGCGACGGTTTTACCTTACCATTTTGTATCAGTCTGAAATTTTTTTCTCATTTTGGGTCTATAAAAAGGAGCATATCTGATTAAAAAAATCATGTCTCGGGAAGTCTCAAATATAAAAATTTGAAAAAAATCAAGTATGCTCCTTTCAATAGACCGAAAATAAAAAAAAATCCTTTACAAAATATTAAAGTATAACCGTTGCCAAATCAGTACAGATGGGTTCATATAAATTAATAGTGTCAAAACATTAAAATAAAAAAAAATTTAATTTCTTACAATTTAAAAACTACTGGTTGGTCATTTTTTTGTATTTTTTATACTTGAAATTAATACAGCCTGGAATACCTTAGTAGTGTGCCATTTTCGCGAGACTGTAAATTAAATGTTATTATGTAAATATAAAAAAACTATGTTTTTAATTTATTTGATAACACTGTGCAACACCAAAAATCAAACCGCACCGGACTGTTTTTTTATGAAAATATACCTATCCAAAACCCTCGCTGGGTTTGTGAAAGTTAGCTCGAATTTTTTGTATGGTCGTTTGTATTTTCGAGCTTCATATACCCCAATTTAGACTTATAAATTTATTTTTTTCGCATACATCCGATTTATATCGTCAAATTTTTTTGTAGAAATGTAGTTATTGAACAAATAAACCCATTTTGTTTTGGAATGTAGGTTGTTCCGAAAGTGGGTTCATTCGTTCAGTAAGTACATTTCTACAAAAAATCTTGAAGATATAAATCGAATATAGGTATG